ATCTGCTGCCGCCGCAGCTGCGGCCGCAGCCTCTGGCGGTGCAGCCGACAACTCCATTGAACATTCTGATTACAGAGCTAAACTCACCCAGATCAGACAGATCTACCACACAGAGTTGGAGAAATACGAACAGGTAAGTCTTTGCAGTTCCAGGGCTGAGAACTTCCAAAAGCAGCTTTTTTGCTCATATCTCTTTGTGCACATTTGCTTAGAATAACAGAAATTTTGTTCATTAATTCACCATGAGAAGCTTTAAATAACTACTAAATAGACTACTAGCCAGCTGAAATTTCAGTTTGTGCTTAAATCGTCCTATTAAGCTGTACTTAATACTTCACATCACTTTAGAACACAAAGAACAGCCTATTCCTTGCTTTAGCGAGAAAATTGCAGAGCATTGCATGATGGAGGAGAACACGCTAGTGGCTTCGAAAAAATTAGCTGTATTATTCACTTTGTTGTACTTGATTATAGAGCTCCAAAGCAGTGTCTCAGTCATGTGTGTTAAATGAAAAGTATGATCAGCTCGTTCACCTAGCACTTTGAGCCTGCCATTAAACACAGAGGCATTATGGGCGAAAATAGAAGGTGTAGCAGTGATGCCTCAGCAAGCCAGCGAGGTAAATTAGACTAATTTACTCCGTGCTCTCTGAGAGAGGAGGTGGGTATGTGGGGGCACACAACACTTCACCCGGAGTAAATGCATCTTTCTTAAGGGTGTTTCCTGGTTTTAATTATCTAAATGTAAATACTTAACGAATTTTACTCAGAGTAATGAGCTAAAGTGGGCACTACGTAAATGAGTTATTCTAATTAATCATGTGTGAACTACTGGTTTAGCAAAAAGGCTGTTTAAATTTCACTCTGCATTAGGGCCAAGCCAAATTGCAAATCAGCATTTTATATTCAAAGATGACTTCACCTATTATGTCAGCAATGTAATATGTAAACAGCACACTGTTGGAGCTTTTAACAAAAGGAGCTTGCATGCAATAAACTCATCTCCCATTGCAAAAATGCATGCAATGTTACAATATCAGTCAAAGAGTCTTCTTAAGTTGTAAGAAGATCACTGCTGCGACTTGGGACATTTACAGCACTCACTTTGGCTGTTTTTGTCTCTCTGTCTCTTGGCAGGCATGTAATGAATTCACTACCCATGTGATGAACCTGCTGAGGGAACAGTCCCGCACGCGACCCATCTCTCCCAAAGAGATTGAGCGCATGGTGGGAATCATCCACCGTAAGTTCAGCTCCATCCAGATGCAACTGAAACAGAGCACCTGTGAGGCTGTCATGATCCTGCGCTCCAGATTCCTTGATGCCAGGTCAGTGGATTATGTGTGTGTACTGTATACATATGTGTGCGTGTGTGTTGTGTATACGTATGTGTATCTGTATCTAGAAACTTTTGTTGCTTCCCTATGACCCATATAAGCAAATCCAGTCAGCGAGGTGATTTTTAGTCTGTGTGCAGGTCTAAAGTTTGTTTCCCCCTCCCCGTTTCTGGCACAGCACACAGTATGAGCACTGCAGAGATGCATGATTTTAATTATGTCCATGTTCCATGCATTATCCATTTTCAAGACAATCATGCCCTCACACCTGAGAGCAGTTAAGACCAAATGAAATGGGGACCAGGCCACTTGTAATGGATGGAGGGGAGGTCATCAGCAGGTGTTGTGGATTACTCTAATCACTAACGGTGTGGTGCAGTGTGGAGCTCTGCAGAGAGCAGCACAAGTTCTGGCCAAACAAGCCAAGTGGAAGCACATTTGCTGCCCAGTGCCCGTGTGAAGTGCAGTAAACAAGGCAAAATAAGCAAATGCTCAACAACACGATAAGTAGTGGCCTTGGGAGGGAAGGGGACTGAGATCTAGTTAGAGTTTGCTTGTTTCCTGCTGGAGATCCCTGGGGCTATGGCACTTCAGGAACAATGCTCAACTGTGCATGCCGTGATTTCTATAATGCACCGAGATGCACTCCGAGTGGGCTTTGCGCTCCATCACAAAGCCCACCCATCCGCTAAACTAAACTCTACACATTACACGCTTTGCGACCAGCAGACCAAATTAAACATTGTTTGTGTTTTGTTTGTTTGTATGTGTGTGTGTGTTTGTCAGTTTATTGGTTGGAGTCTGGTCTTCTGTGTGTTGACAAGACTCTTGGAGCAGGACACACAGTTCTGCTCCTGAACGCCCTTAGAGCCCACTCCTCATTATTTTCACCATTTATGTGTGAGATTGATTGTGCAATTTGTGCAATCCAAAATGTGCGAGTTAATGCTGGTCTCACTAACAGGCTTGCTCGGCCTTTCTCTCATTTTGCTCCCCACTCAGGAGGAAAAGGCGAAACTTCAGCAAGCAGGCGACGGAAATTTTGAATGAATATTTCTACTCACACCTCAGCAACCCGTATCCAAGCGAGGAGGCTAAAGAGGAGCTGGCCAAGAAGTGCAGCATCACAGTTTCCCAGGTGGGTAGTGCTCATCTAACAGTAGTTTGTGGGTAATCGGGGGGGAAGGCTAAAGCCTAGAGGGATAGTTACTGTAGGTCACACCGCCAAGACACAATGTCCTTAGCTAACCTTGACATTGTGACTGCCTAATGATGCTTCAGTCAAGACTGGTCCCAGTCAGTCAGAGCAGGGCCACAGGGAGGGAAGGCCTATATCATCTTGGCCTCAATCAAAGCATTATGCTGCCCTTCCTTAGCTGCCCCAGTGCTGGGTCCCCTGCCATTTTTCCCTCTCATTGTCATCCACCATGTGTGCTCTCTGTTGCCTGGTCAGTCGCTCACGTCATATACTGGGGAGGAAAAAAATGGCATCATCCATTACTTTAAGGAAAGCATTTAAAGTCTGGTGCTTCACAACACTGGATGATACTGGGTTTTGTATTTGTATGTTGGCTGTTAAAGTAATCTTGAAAGACTTGCTAATTCACAGCTCTATATTTGGACTTAAAGATGCGACTTTCCCACTTTATGCAAGGCATGACCTCCTTGTTGGGTAAACCTGAAGGCAATATCTCTCACACCTAACCCCCACATCCAAAGTATTATTATTCTGTGCTCTCTCTTTCTGCTATGATCGTGACTACTATTTAGGTTCTTTATTGTTCTATGGTTGTCCTAATGAGACACATTATCAGAGAAATATGACTCTATACATTAATCTGCCGTGTTTTTTATTTTTATTTTTTTCTGTGTGGGGACGGGGTGTTGAGGGGTATGTTGAGTGTAGTTATGAAGAGTCAGATACTGTAAAAGCCCATTCTTTTTTGCCTTCAGGGGGTGGGAAGCACCATCACAGTATCACAGGTATGTCATGACTTCTCCTGATCCACTGTTTTCATTTTTTTGTACCTCCTTTGTTTATGTATTTAATAGGCTCACAGTTTTCCACTGCACAGAACCTCCCTCCCCTTATACTACTGGATCAATGCTAATGTTATCATAAATTACAGTGTTTAAAGTTTGAATTTTTATGTTAAAAAGAGTGGATAAGAATTTTCAGCATTTACATCCCACCTTTAAGTAACACAAGAACACAGACTATTTTTTTTACATTACACCCTTGTTATCACCATATTATGTGTGTACAAATGTGTCACATGAAATGTTACTTCTTGATTACTGTTTACTACATTTGCTACATTTTTTTGTTTGTTGTAGAGTGTTGACTAATTGTGTGGTCTCTTGAATCTTCACACTGAGCTCTGAATTTATTTAACACCCCTACCCCTACCACCACCACCACGTGATCCCTGTATGCATTATAGCCGTTAAAGAAATGGCCACCGACCCTCACAAATGGAGCTCCACTCTGTTTTCTGAGTGCCTTGCAAAAAAGGCCACTGTACCAGTTCCCATGAGAACAAATCAGTCCAAGCAGAAATTAGAGGGCTTTTAAAAATTCACTTGAACTCATCTCAGACCCCATTAGTGGCGTACTCCTTGACAAGTGGAGGCCACGGCAGACATTCTTATTGACTTATTCTTAATGCTTTGGCTCATTTTAAGTGAGTAACAAATTCAGAGGCTCAACATGATGCCGAGTGTACCGTAAGTGTGTTATTCCACACTGTGCCCTGGCCTGTTGGAGTCACAGCCGCTCACGTGGCCACACTGAGCGGCTCAGCAAAGTCATTTTTCAAAGACCCCCAGACTCTTTTTGCAGCGCTTTGTTGATTGCACAAGCAGTTCATTAAGTAAAAACCATCCGTCGTGAATGGTATGCCAATATCAGTCTGCAGCTATGCTCAATACATCATCGCTGACGAAACACCCTGCATCATTTTAGCAGAGATCATTTAAAATGCAAGTGATGCACAGCCCTTATCCCTGAGAGCAAAGCCTTTTTACTTCTAGAGATCCCTATAGTTCTGACTCTAGTGTCTATTTTCAAACGCTGCAGCAACAACCTTGAACAAACTGAAAAATTATTGAATGTACACATTATCTGACTATGTCAGTGTCAGCTGATTGAACCCTGCTTGTTTAGAGCAAGTACTTGAAGTGTAATAACATAGTGACATTCTTACAATGACCTGAGTGGCTCTGTAAGTGCAGGATGCCATCTTATTTCCTTTGTCACTTTGCACACACAGTGCTAGACTCATGAATGAAGGTATGGGATGGATGGCTGTAGGTTGTGTCAGGATTTACAGAGACCACATTTAATATGATCAGTGTGAACAGTTTAACATTGACGCCAGATTCCGATGCAAAGCTTATTGTACATTATTCATATGTGCATTCATTTTCAACTGGACAACACTTGTCATTGCTTTCTATCATAGTGAACATAGAGAAATTAAGACTTGAATGCTTATTAATTGTTAATGCAGTCTGTATAATTGATAGTATCACAGCTAATCAGACCAACTTTGTATTGTATTTGTATTTAAGACATAAGGCATTATAGCCTCAGATATATGGAGATCATATACAGATCATGCATTGCTGTACATCAGCTGGCGAGGAGTATTGACCTGAAATAGGGAGAAATAGTTTGAATTATTAACTGCAGCTCAGCGACCTCTCTAGTGGGCAGCAATGAGTCTGTATGGTCATTATACAGTTGCTGCCTTTGAGGCTGCTGATGTCAGGTAATTCAGTCTCACAACCTGGTTTTCACCACACATAGAAGTCAATTGAATGCATGGCCTGCCACAAGATAAAAGGGAATTAGCTCTGTAGATTGGGTTGCGCTCTGCACCCTACAGTGTCGTGCATTTGTTCAATATTTAGCTGAACTTGAGAATCACTAAAGCCAGAGTTCAGTGGGCTGGAGAGAAATGTGTGTGTAGAATGGAGAAGGTTGGTGTAACATCCAGAGGATCTGATGCCAGCACTGCTGGGCCTGGTAGAATACAGTCACAACACACAGAATAATAAACCTGTTAATATTTCCTTAAATGATCAGTCTCATTTTACTATGAAACTGTAGGATTAGCATGCATCACTCCCACACTGGTGCACAGTACAGTAAAAAGCAAACTAGTTAATGATTTAAAAAAAGTCTTCATGTACAAACACTCCAAGTGACATTTGACATGATACATGTAGTTATGCTTATTACACTATGTGAATATACTGTTAAAAGAAACCGACCAATGAGCTTTACAAAACATTTTCTATGATTTTCAGGAGTTTGTGGGCACTTTGTGAGCTGTCTAAACCAGTAAGAATATTGCATCCTCTTTGGCTCTACAATCCACAATAAGCAGGTTAAGTAAAAAGGATGATGGCCAGGGCTTTCATTGCTTCCAATTAAACCTTGCTTGTTAGTTTAACCTCTAGGTAAACCCATCAAACAATTGATGTCAAGGAAACCCTGCCAACAGTGGGCCTCGCCTGAATGGTCATTAATTTTAATTGCCTAGATATTAAAGATTTAGAGCACAGAGACTTGCTGGATGGAAATGATCCGATGTCCTGCAAATCCAGTCAGTTTTTATGCCACAGCATTGGCGGGCTGCTGGGGATATTAAATTTTAAGCACATGGGTGGAAATTAAATAAAGTGTCATTAGGGGCAGCTGCTCTTTGGCTGGTCCAGCCATGGGCTGTAGGGCCTGAAAGGGGGGGCAGCAGCAGCACAGTGACAAGACACTCTAATTTATAGGACCATTAAAAACAAGCATCATCTCATTATTATTCCACTGTTATTGCAGAGCCAGCATTCACACATAAGGTTCACCCCTCATATAAGTTTTCAGTGTCTGACTGATGTCATCATTTCAGTTCAACAAAATTAGCATTTCCTACTGCTCTAAATCTGATTCTACCCAGTTTCAGACATTAATTTAAACCCAATATTTCCCCGTGCCTTAAGAGTTCAGTTTTACTTTGATAAAATATTTCTTTTTTAACACAGTTATAACTGACTGTTCCAATAATCTGTGTTTACAGCTGCATGTGTCTGCAGGTCTTACCTGAGAACTCTTGTTTTTGATCATTACAAACAAAGGTTGCTTCATAAATCATTGAGCATGCATGTACATACACACACACAGAGAGAAAGAGAGAGATATTGAATTTCTGTATTAAGCTTTATTTATTTTCACAATTAAATCACTTATGTAAACATACCCAGCCATTATTTAAGGGTGACTATAAAGTCATATGTATGCTTTAATAAGAACTTCAGTCAAATATGAACATTTAATACAGACATACAATGTTGTCCATTTTTATCTTTATGTTCAATTTGGCTGCAATCTTATATATAACAAGTTATGCCTCGATTTGTTAACTTTTACTTAAGTTAACAAATTGTGCATGCAGAACTATGTAAGGCATCAGTCACCTAGATTCACCCATCTGGAATCAGTGAACATTCTTTATAGGGTAAAATATGAATATTCGTATATTTCACTGTGGAAAATGTCAGCAGCCGTAACCTCAACAACCAGCTTTAATTTGGGAAATATACATAATACACTGACTGTAATGTCTGTGCAATAGGAGCCCCTTGTGTTTGAGTTTTGTCAGGAGGCAGAACTGAGAGCATGTCATACTCCCATCCATGAGAAGACACAAGTGGCTCCTGATTATGGCTTAATTAGCTTGTGTACCCAGCGGACATTACTGCAGGGGCTGGGAATTGGGTACTTGATGGACCCAAACATGACATCTTGAAACAATCACACTGCTCAGTGCACGGTGCTGTGGCTGCTTGATGTCTGACTCCTCTGCTCCTCCTCCTTCTGCTCTTCACACAGGTATCCAACTGGTTTGGCAACAAAAGGATCCGGTACAAGAAAAATATCGGCAAGTTTCAGGAAGAAGCCAACCTGTATGCTGCCAAGACTGCTGTAAATGCAGCACACGCTGCAGCCGCTGCAGTGCAGAACAGCCAGGCCAACTCCCCTACCACACCTAATTCTGGTAGGCACTCCTGCATATAGTCAACTAAAGATATGCCCTCTACCTCAGCCCTTAACCTGCTGCCTACCTGCCTCACTCTCTCATGCACCATTCACACTGGCAAGAGTGACAGGCTCTGCTCCCAGCTCGGGGATCAAACTGTCTCCTGTCTATAAGACAGTTGATGTCAAGCAAACTCATGCATAAAGAGTGCGTTCCTGACTTGTGAACCGAGAACACATGTATTTTTGGCAAAAAAAAAAAAAAAAAAAGTGAGAATTCAGAATGATGCCATGGGATTGGTTTTCCCTTGACTTTCTGTCAGCGTCCTGTCATTTGTAATGTAATGGTATGTAGTCCCACAGAATAGCAGTGCTTTTCTTGCTAAATAAAGAGAAACATAACTGCTGGGAGCATTTTACCTACAGTAATAGTTTTCTATTAAAATGACATCATATACAGTTCATATTGAATAAGACTCATAAAAGACATGAAGCTTTAAAGGGAATGCTTAGTCCGGTTTATTGAGATACAGTTTGTAATGCTGAGTTTGGACTAGGTTGACCTGCGTCGGGATGTGGTAAGCTTATGAAGTGGTCCCTTTTTCTTGCACCCAGGATTCCAGATGAAAGATGAAGAGTTTCAGCTGGATTCTGCAGAGAGCAAAAACACTCTTTTAACCAACATGTTTACTGGTACTGGTCTTTTCATAAGCTTCTTATTGTCCTTGTCATTTACCATGTGATACCTCCCTGCCAACGTTAGATTGGAAGTAGGTGATGTGGAACAATTGGGAGCTTAAGCAACCAACCACATACAGAACCGGTCCCCTTGTGCCATGTGATTTCCATTTCATTTGTGTCCACTGCATTCGTAAAAAGATCCCCTTCAGTCCCTCTGCATACCATCCTCTTCCGTTTGTTTCTTTACCTCCCTTCCTTCACCCCTGTAGTTGCTTGCTTTATGGGAGTCTTTCTTCAGTGTATTCGTCTGCTTGAGTTGGGTCTGTGTATGCAGACACGTGCGTGGTGTGTGTCTGCGTTATTTGTGCGTGTGCGTATGTGTGTCTGTGCTTTCCCTTTATAGCCCTCTCATGTATTCAGCTACTTACATCTTCCCTTTCCAGGTTCTTCAGGTTCTTTTAACCTCCCAAACTCTGGGGACATGTTCTTGAGCATGCAGAGTCTGAATGGGGATTCTTACCAAGGGGCACAAGTCGGAGCCAATGTACAGTCACAGGTAGGATCAACAATCAGGGACAGTTCCTGACCATCGGTGCAGAGAGCTGTCCTTGTCTTGCCTGTGTACTGAGCCATCCACAGTGCAGTCTGAAGCACATGAAACCAAAAAGAGAAAATCAGAAAACACGCTGCTCACGGGATGGCAGTTCAAATTACCGCAGCGAGGCCTCCGATAACCTCCAATTGACTCAAGTGTTTACTGACTATTTCGCTTTGGATGGAATATTTTGGCAGCCAAAATATAATCCCACCCCACTGCTATTGTGCCACAAAGCAATTTCCAGGTCACTAGTTTTCAACGTTTTGTGAATGCATTTGGCTTTGACTTGAGCTCTTTGGTTGGTATTGGGTTTTGGTACTGTGTTTTCCCCTTCTTTCTGTACTCTTTATTGCTGTCCTCCTGTCTCATCTTGTTATTGTTTGTTGTCAATGTCTTCCTTTTAAGTTTAATGCAGCTACACACTTGAAACAACAAAGTTACCATACACTTTTGAAAAAAAAGCTTATTCATGATTAAGGTAAAAAAAAAAAAACTTATTTAGAGCAGCCATAGTGTATGCGTTACATTATTGTCACTTATGCTTTTATTTTTGTTTATAATTACATAGCCACTGAATAACGTGCCATAGATTTGAGCATGCTAGTAATGTCAGTATGCTTTTTTTTTTTTTTTTTATTAGAAAGTCAGTTAGTGCAGTTACAAATCTGTGAGTACATTTGCTGTCTCAGAAGTCCCTTTGTGATTTCACACTACTTATTTTGCTTCACTGAGCATGTTTACAGTTAGTGTTGGGCTGCTGCAAGAAGCCCGGCTGACCAGCCTGTCCACCTTGTCTATCCCCTCAGGTGGATACCCTGCGCCATGTTATCAGTCAGACGGCAGGATACAATGATGCTCTCGGGGGAAACACAATGTACAGTCCACATGGCTTAAATGTAAGTACAGGTTTTATTGGTTTCACTGATGAGACAAATACATTTTAAACTGAAATATGCTGCATAGGTATATTTTTAATTCTTCTTACAGTGCATTGCAGTATATTGCAGGTACAGATAGACACAACCTTGCATGTGCCATATACCTCCCAAAGCATGTGTCATAAAATATTAGAGGCTGTATCTTGTCACCTTGTCACCTGATATGAATAAAACTTGCATTTAATAAAATGCATTACACAGCAGGGAAATGAAGCCTGCAGCTTTACTTTAATAAACATCTTTTAATACTTTGTTTGGCTCAACCCAAAAATGACAATGGGGGAAAAAAAGCTTTTCACTGCATGGTATCTGTTGCATTTTAGCATTTTTGAAATGCCTCACATAATTTTCTACAGCCTTATCTTTGTGATAAAATATGAACATGTGATCGCCCGCAGCCCTTTTCCAGACATGAATTCCATCTTCCTTGATGAGGTTTGATATGGCGCCTTTTGTAAAGCAGCGCATTATCTGAAGCTATCAGAGTAAAGATTAATTTCATTGATGAGAGATGACAAAGAGAGAAAGAGAAGGACGCAGAAATAGCATCAGACAGTTCTCTCTCTCTGCACTTTATCAGTACTTCAGTATTTACTCTCTTCATATTGTTATGCCTGTTGGATAAAATGCACAGATATTCACAGTCTAATATTATTTAAAGCTTAAACATCAAAAGTAATGTATTTATTTTACAGCAGTTCTTCTGTGATCAAAATTAACATATTTTATGTAAACAGATGTTCATGGCTTTTGCCAGTATTCAGTCATTTTGCTGAAGCCTTATTACTATAAGCTCTTTAGACATGTCAACTCCTCGCAGGATCAAGTGTTTTTCACTAAGGTTGCTCACTTCCATATGCAGTGTAGACCTGCGCCTACTGGCTCAGCAGAGCTCAGTGTGATCCCCTCTAACACGGTACCTGACTGCACCGAACAGCTAAAGAGTAATACAGTACTTCAATATTTTGAATGCATCAAACTGCAGCAAAGACCCTTTTCGTTTTGCTACAATCTTGAAACTGCCTTATAGATATATTAGCATAGACTAACCTTTAGCTCTGTTGGTGGTGACGTAGAAGGATCCAGTAAAGGCTAGGTCGTGCCTGGAGCAAAGCAAAGTCAGGCTGGTTCAGACTGGCTCTTTATGAGAGGCCCTGCCCTGTCACTTTCACTCAGCTCCCCCCACCTCACCTGGCCCGTGCCCTCCCTCTTCTTGACTGACAGGAGAATATGTAGCGACAAGCTGTCGGCTGCTGCTGAAATCTGCTTAGACACTGATTTCAGGGACTTCTCCCATTGGTCAGGACACGAGGCAAATTTGTTTCCAAGTGTGCCTTAGCTGATGCTACTGTAATGCAAAGAGCTCTCGGAGTCTGGTCTTATCACATGGCATCATTGCATCTGTAACATTTTCATATCACCAGAAAAAAAAAAGTTCTATTTCCTTCTACCATTTTTTTAAAGCATTGTGTTACATTTGGGGTATAAATACTTACCACCCTCACATTGTAAAGTCTGTATTTGTAACCTCAAACTGTGCCATTTGTGTCCCAGGCTAATGGGGGATGGCAAGATGCAACAACTCCATCTTCTGTAATATCTCCGACAGAAGGACCTGGAAGTGTGCACTCCGATACCTCGAACTGATCCACTATTAATGCATCTTCGCCTCTAGCTGGGCATGGACTCTTAAACTGGCTGACCAACTGCAGCGGATATTATAAAAAACAAAAACAAAAACAAAACAAACAAAAAAAAAAACCCCACAACCTTTTCACAACAGATTTGTTTTCCTGTACCTTAAAATCTCCCACGACCATGCCATTCAAATGACATCTTCCATTATAAACACCAAGTGTTTCCTGATTGTTCAGTGTTTTCTTTCTGTCTTCATAAATCAACCATAATCACTATGCTCTTATTTGTTTGTTGTAGAGGTAAGCACACACACACATACAAGTAAAAACAGCCCTCAGATGTTACTCAGTAAACTTTCGGGATAATTATCTCCTCTGAACTCAAAATACTTGATGACACTTTAACATGAAATTTTATGACATTATAAATGCCCATTTGTTTGATTCTTGATTTAATTACTGCTTTCCATTTTGATAATTAGATTCTCTTTCACTTTGTACAATACATAGATTAAAGCAGCTCTTTCTTTGACCGTAATGTGCTCGCAGTCTTGTCCAGCAACTCAACAATGCTAATGTTGACAGCTCAATGGCAGCTTTGTAGTTCCTTTCAAGATTTATTTTTGCCTTACAGCCGTATACATTAGTACAACGAAATGACTATTCAGACTCTGGAACATAAAGAAGTGTAATTGATTGCTCGACTATAACATCACACCATTCCATATTTTATAATTTGATGTTTAGTATGTACATATGTAAACATTATTTTCTACTGCTTATGGAAATCAACAAATCCCCCACAGTAGATCATTCTTTCATGGCACGTAGGAGCAGGCCCCCATTACACAGGAAAAGTTGTACATAATATAGCTTAAGAGTAATTATACACCCCACCAATCAATACACAGCTTTATTACCTCATTCAAATTCATACAAACCAGTCATTTCCAACCTTTCTGTAGCTTAGAGTGCTCACTTACTACCTCTAAACAAAACCTCCACCATAGGTTCTTTTGCCCTTATTTAATGTTTTTATGTAGTTATTTTGATTACATCTTGTAACACTGTAAACTCTTCATTCTCTATGTAATCTAATGTATATTTTAATCTTTTAATAAAATGCTGTTGCTGTACTGCAACTTAAAATGACAAAAATTAAAAAAATTAAAATGATAATGATATTAATGCCATGAAAGATAGACCGGGGGGGGGGCTGGTGGTCTATGGCTTTTATGAGCTGGTGCGATGAACATTGTTGATAAATTGACACCAAACAGTAAAACTGTTGTAAATACTGCAGAAAATAAACATTTTGAATGTTGCTCATCTTGTTACTAAATCATGCGAAAAAAAGAACAAAAAAAAAATCACTATAAAACTGTAATGCATAGAGGTTTCAGTATTCACAACTGTAAATTTCCAGCTCTGTTCAACAGGGTGCGAGACTTCTTTTCTCTTTTTTCTATTGTATGTGATTCTGAAACTGAAAAGTCATGACAAATGATTTGTGGCAGTGATTCCGATGTATTAAAGATGTTTAGTGTTACTTTCTAACCAGACTACACCCTGGACTGAAAAGTCTTCCTTGTGGTAGTTGTGTAATTTCAAACATGAATAAACCTTTTGCTTTCATGACAGCAAGGTGTGATTTATTTCACGTTTGGCACTTTTGTCCATCATAAACCACCAATAAAGGATTTTAATGGAGTCTTGCACCTGTCCAGTAACATTAACTTCATGCTCTTCTAAGCCATTTCTTTCCTCTCATCAAGGAACAAATTACACATATTGGACAATATTTTAGGTATTAACATTTCAAATAATTGAATGTTGAAACTGCATTCACTATAAGCTCTGTGTGAGGCCTGTACAGTGCATTCTTCTGTTCCATACCATGGGTAGAAGGTAAAGAAGACCTAACCTGGTTTGCAGCTACTGTGGAGCTGACATAGTTAGTGCAATTAACTGAAATGTCAGGCACTTCTAATTCAGGCTATTTTGTCTGTCTGTTGTGGAAAGGCTGCCTTAATGGATTATTGGTTAACAATTCCACATGGAAATTGACAGCAATTTATTCTCATTTTCTCAGCAGAGTTCTTCATTCCTGTCTTCCTCCTGTGCTTGTGTCCACTGTTTGTGTCTCTCAGTCTTGGACCCAGGTTTTTTTTCTGTTTGAGTATATGCCATTGGAACACTGTGTTTGTGCACTGCAGCAAATAGAGGAGATCATTTGATACTTCTTAGTGTGTATGTGTTGTATATCTGTGTGAGCAAATGTGCACGTGTTGTGATTTCAACATAGGAGTGTAGATAGACAGGTGAGAGTGAAAAGAGATGTAACAGCATAGCACGAGTTTAAATCAAGTGCAATGCACAGACAGTTTCCCAGGAGATCATATTTGTCCAGTCAGCCAGTGCACAACTTCACAGAACACCTTCCTCTGAAAAATCATATTTCTGCGATGCCACAGATTTCCACATGCATGGAGTTACTTTTTCTTCATACTGTAGCAGTTTGAATTAAAGGACGTTTTATAGATTTTCAAAACTACCATGCATGCCTCTGTTTTTTTACTGTTATTATTAAAAAAATGTTTGAGTTCTGCTCGGGAGATATTTGGCAGCGTTTCACTGTGGTTTCATTTACCTTCAGTGCATCCACACAGGATAGTTTGCTCCATGGCAACGCTGCTTCAGTCTATTCTTTTCTAATAAAAGTGGCGTGTGCACATGCACACATAGTATATTTCCTCTCATAGAATTATGAAAGCATTTGGAGATGAAGTCCAGTCCTGCTGTGCCCTGCCATTTAGATTGCAATCTATTAGCTCATTCTACCTTTACAAATGGATACATTTGCATCCTCAAGACTTCAGCTATCGGATTTTAAGCACAGCACTCAGCAAAATTGGCCTCAGATCCTCTTAAATGAAGAAGTTACATTTTCTGAGATTATGTCTATTAGAGTTTTTTCTAAGGTTCATTAAAGACGACATTTTCTAAGTAAAATTCACCATGAAAAGCATGCATCATTAAATATGGAAATCCAGAATTATATTAGCAATATGCACCAAGCTAGTGCCAATTAAATTAGAGAAAGATATCATTTATATTACTAAGGTAGAGTTCATATTAGATTAAATATAAAATGTAATTTTTTCACAGTTTGATTTATTGCTTATAATGCATTGTTCACAGACCCATGTTATACTGTATTTCAAAAGAAGCGTTGTTTATACTGAAATGTAAAAGCTGTAATTGCATCACACTATTGCTAAATTAAATTGGTAGGTGGTTCAAAAAGAAATTCATAAGCTGGTATGGTTGTAATTTCCATTCTTAAATGTGACTATATGCACAACAGCGTACACCGATACACAAAATAAATGACTGTTTGTGACTACTCTGTTGTTCACTTTGGATTTGATGGAGTAATTAGCCCTTTCTGTAAGCCTCGGGAATTTTTAGGAATGAAACAAATGAGCCGAAGTTTAGTCCAAGACAATATGCAATATGTTGTAGCTTTGAACCTTGATCAAAGATTGGGGCAGTGGGAGGAAACATGAAAACCCAATAGATCATCACTTCTTGGAAAGCCATTAGGGTGCTGCTCTGGAAAGAAGGCTACAAAGAATCCTGCTTATAGGGCAGTGAATACATTTTACTGCACACACTCTCATGAACCCAACAACAAGCAATTGAGCAACACCTATCTCATATCATATCTGCTGTAAGATGTCAAGCACAGATCACACTGATACCCAGTGAAGAGATTTTAAGAGACAGATTCCTTCTTCACAGACACTGTATTGTTGCATATTTTGGATCTGCAGTGTGACACAATAGAACAAAACACAGACATGAGGCGATGGCTTGTTACAGTAGGTGTGTAGATGCACTATTGTCGTGTGTACTGGAAGTGATGAGAATACATTGCTAACCTTTGACTAACTTTATATGCAGCATTTAAACATTTCATAATTTTCTACTATACTTGTTATACTCTACATTTGGACTATAATACAGTTATATTTATTAATCTACAGTATTTTTCAACAATTATGAGGTCTCCTGTTAAAACATTTTATATTTTATACAACTGTGTTTTACTATGTTGATTCTGAATAGTTTCTGGCAAGTTTTCTGTGAGCAACATTTTCCGAACTGAAAATCCAGGATTTCCCCAATTTTTCGATTTACAGTAAAAGATCTGCTTAACTTGCTAGAGCATCCAACTTTGGATAATGATTTTCCTTTGTTAGAGCTTGCTTCATGAGATACTCATAAAGCCAGAGATATGAGCTTGAGAGTAGTGTACAGTAATTTGATTTACTTAGCAGGAGTATAATGGTGCAGAGCCTGTCTGCACTGATCTCTTTATCAGCAGTGACTCCTATTAAGAGATGAGTCCTGAGTGGCCTTTGAGCTTAAAACACTGGGAGTTAATTAACATCTGATCCCTTCTCCTCTTACATCTTTAGAAGTTCATTTTCAATTTCATTTCAACCCATTCACCCATTTTGGTGCTGAAAGATCACTCTAAGATCGCACATAGCTTCACGTCTGAACTGATGGTAGCTTATCACAGCCTGTTAGGCAAAAGCAAGCTTGTGAAGGTTTGTGACAGGAGACAGATGTTTGCCTTACCTCTTAGCAGACACATGTCATCAAGCAAGGGCTCCCTTTGTGTTGCTCAAATGTATTGACACCAAGCCACAAAACATAGAAAACAGACAAATACAGAAGCTGAATCTGTACTTTTCTCTGCATGTCTCTCCCTGTCACACACAAACATACACGTTGCACAATAAAATCATATCATGTAATGTTATTAAATCAATACATGTATCTATTTACCATTTACTTTAGAGCTTTCTAATCTGGCTTTGTAGAGTCTTCATTGCTAAGTCAAATATATCACCATTCACTTAACTGCAAAACTTACAAAGCAGGTGTTAGTCACCCAGGCAGATGATAGATGCAACCTACAAAATGCAGCACAGTTTCACATAAAAACACAAAAGGGGCAAGTGCTGTAATATAAAACTGACTGTGGTGACAGTTCTTAAATCTATTTGATCTGCAGGGATGCAGCATCTGCTTTTGATTAAAATTAGCCCTTTGTGGCCTCAGTCATATTTAAGCCTCTCTGATTTTATTAAAGAAAAAAGAAAAAAAAAAAGAAGATGTTAATACATCTGTCATTTCTATAAATAAACCAACAATGTAGTGTGTTTTTTAGAGGCAGGAATATCATACACTGACACAATGCAAACATGGCTCCTGGCACCCCGAAAACATGCCACAGCACTTGAAAGCAGTTCATGTGCTGGTTATACTTAACACTCAAACTGATGTTTCCACCTCTCCACTAAATTTAGTGCATTTCTTTCCAGTTAATTTTAATTACATAAAGTTCAATAACTAAATGTATGACATGAAAACTAATTTTAATAATTATCCACATACCTTTTCATTAAAAAATCATGGCCATTAAGTTAAAGGAAGAGTGCACGTGGTGGCCCAACACATTACTCAGAGACTTTATTATTTTTTCCCATTGATCACCTGTCATATGTATGTATCATTTTATCTAAAACACTATGCAATAATTAATGTTTCTATGTATCGTAGTGTTTTCTATAAGAAAGCTCAAGGACAACATTCCTGGAAAGCTGTGGGTAGTAGCTGTGAATTTTTGGTACTGGTGCATAGTATGTCCACTGGAGTTAGTCCTGTCCATGGATGATTGTGTTACTGTTATAGTGAATGGAAAAATGCTTGATTAGATTGGCATGTTTGCTGTGACCAAAGGAATGATCCTGTGACTTATAAGAGCTTGGATATACTGTACAGACATCTGCTTGTTAAGGCTGCCTACTAGAAAACATACAGTAATTCATCATTAGGAATATGGTAAGTACTGTATAAATTTGGATTTTAGTGAATTTCCTGCAGAAATGTATTCCGTACTGTTGAAGATAAATAAGGCCAAATATTTCAATGGTTATTTTAAGGAAAATACTGCAACTGTTGATATATGGTTTTATAGTGACATTTACTTTTCAAGTGGCTCAAAGACCTGAATGATATCATGCTGTGTATTTATATACCACCCAGAATTTTGCCTCATGTCTTTCTTGCTCTCCCATTGTTTCTTGTTTCTGTCTCCCTGTCTTTGCTTGGATGTACAGTACACTGATCAGGCATAAGGCATCAGGTCACATTATGACCACCTGTACATCTGTATGCACTTCAGTGCAATACTTGTGTTTATGAAGCTCAAGATGTTTCAGTTTTTGGTGAGATTGTCATAAATGTATAAATTCAATTATATGTTCATTATTGAGGTCATAGTTAAAGGTGGTGTTGTACTAGACTACATTATATTCAGAGGTGTTCCTAATATTCTGACCCTCTCATTTATGTCAATGTGCAGGACAAACATATACAGACACCTCTGAATATAATGTAGTCCAGTACAGCACCACCTTTAACTATGACCTCAATAATGAATTTCAACAGAATGAATGAATCTCAATAGAATTTCTCCTAACATACAAAGCCTTAATGACAAGACTCTATGGTATCCTAAGGATCTCATAGAATTTATAGAAGTAGAATGGAAGGCAGAGCCTTTAGCCATCAAGCTCCTCTCCAGTGGAACCAGCTCCCAGTCTCAGTTCGGGAGGCAGACACCTTCTCTACCTTTAAGATTAAGCTTAAGACTTTCCTTTTTTTTATAAATCTTATAGTTAGGGCAGGCTCAGGTGATCCTACATGCTAGAGTTGGGATGATTCAAAAGAAACATGCTGAGAAGGATCAAAAGCGTCTGCAAGAATTCAGAGAAGTGCTGAGCTAGTAAAGGAGCTCTACAATATACTTGAGGTTTATAACCTGGCTGGACCTCACCTCATCATTGTTTCTCCACAGAGAGGCTAGAGCAGTCATTTGTTCTTGGTGCAACTAGACTCAGGAATGAGTCGGCTTTGGGGTTGTACCTAATACACTGTCCCAGGAGCGCAGACACAGATCACAGGCTACAGCGCTTAGATGCTTATGAATGTTCCCAATGTGTTCACATGTCTCTCTTTGTCTGTGTGCATCATGTATTGGTTGTCTTTTGTTCTGTGCATTGTACTGTGTCAGATGTGAAAGCATCATCTGATCATAACTACTATCAGCTCAGTTGAGTGTGAAGAGCGTGACAATAAGAAATTTGTCTTTTTCCAGACCTGATCTCCAGTACATGACCATTCTGCCTCAGTTCATGATAGCTCCAACAACTTGCAAATTGTGCATCTCACTGTGTTTTCAAAGCCATTTTAAAGAATTTTAAAGGAGGCGTGATTGCACATAGTCAGTGTGTAACCTGGGTAAAAAATACTATGTATTATAGTTAAACATCATTAGAAAGTTCATTTGCTTTTGAACAATAGTTACCCTAAATAAGTTGAATTCATAAGATAAATATAGTTAAAAGCATTTACAAGGTACCAGGGTATTAGGTTGGAATGGTAAAAAAAGCAAAAGCTTTATGATGACTTATTTCATGTTATTTTAAAGGTTCAAGGAAGTGCTGTGTGTAAAATATCATTATTGGTCATCCATTGGTAAAGGTAGTGATACCTAGGGAAAGGGAAGAAGAAGAGAAAAGGAAGTGGGGGAATGGTGTAACTGGGTGAGAAAAGAGAGATGAAAAAAGTTTAAGCAGATGCAAAATATGTAGAGTATATGGACTGTATCTTAGATAGTCAACTCGAGGATCTGCTTAAGATATTTGTCCCACATAGTTTGTAGTACAGGACTGGATATTCTAATGCATGGAGTTGCTGTTGTGTAGTGTTATCGTGTCTAGCTTTGTAGCATAACTACCTAACTTGTTAGCATTCGTTAGCTAAATGATTGTTGGTATCGGTAGTATAGCTAACTCGGCTTACTCCCAAGACTGGATTCATCCTTTCCGACCTGGAACTCATGGACATTATCAGAGACAGTGCTACGTGAGCGACCGGTTGGATGGTACGACAGAGCCATCGAACCTTCCCGCTACTGGTTGCACCTGGACCTGGGGGCCTGTCACTACTTCGCCATTGGATGGCTTTTAGGACCCTTTTGCTATTTGGTTTGGACACACGGAGGAGGTAACGCTTCAGTGTCTGGAGTACGAACTACAAAGTAAGGTAACATCTTTTATTTGGCTTTTATGAGTGAAATGGGTGCTTATTTTTGGCCTCACCGCACCCGAGCACCCATCAGGCCTGCAAAGAGGGTTTATCTTCAGTATACATGCAACTGGTGTAGAGTTAGTGTGTGTGGTGTGGGGGGCCCACTACATTTATGTGTTTATTTTGAAATATTGAAATGTGTGTCTTACAGAGAAAAGGGTCAAGGATAATTAAAGGGAATTGTTATTGTTTATGGCTTACCCTGATTTTTTGTTGAGTAAATTAGGAAACTATTTGGTTATTGTATTCAGTGCTCATAGGACCTAAAGGCACATAATGTAGAGAGGTTTATTACCAACTTAAGATTTGTCAGTTACAGTTATTGTGGGTTAACTGAAGTCAGGGCCCTTATCTTATACAGAGGGTATAGGTGGGTTACAAGTGGAAAGACACAAACAGATGTGACGTTGTCCAGGTTGGCCAAATGATATAAAAACATGCATCTCTGTCAGTTAAAATGCTTTAACTTGAATGAAAAACCTAGGTGTATCCTAAAAGTTTATGAATCATGTTTGTAAATGTAAAAAAAAAGAACAGAAAAATAAAAAAAGGAGAGACATAACAGAAATTTCCTTGAGAGGTTGCTGAGCTAAGGGCACACCTAAAGACACATGACTAACACCCTATCTTCCTATCTTCTGTAGTAGTTAGCTTAAAGCTAATGTTTTTACAGATGGTAAATTGGTTTGATTAAAATCAGCTTTAAGCTAATTCTGTTTCAACACTTCAGATGGTAACATCTATGTGTAATATTGTACTGTACGCAGTTCCTTACAAATATAATAGATTAAATGAACACAGACTGCAGAAACAGCCCAGTGAAGTTTGCATAAATAACACAAGGTACAGTTTAGCTTCACTTAGTGCAACGTTTTGGAAAGTGTATTAGTTTTCTTGCCAAGCGTTAGATGAGATGCCACTCTCACTTGTCTGCTGAATATGAAGCTACAGCAAGTAGCCAACCAGCTTGTCTTAACATAAAGCCTGAACAGAAGGAGGAAACAGTTAGCTTGTCTCTGTGTGAAATAGCAAGTTGTGTGTGTGTGTTTCTTCTTTTTTTAACCTTTACATGGAGCCAGGTTGACTGTTTCCTCTGTTTCCAGTCTTTATGCTAAGTTCACTCCCTGCTGGTTGTAGCTTCAAGATACACATGAAACTCATGTTAATGTATTCTTTAAAATGTATTTCTCAGCAATAAAGTAATATTTCCCACCATGTTGAACTACTGCTTCAGCTGTGACAGCTTCACTGAAATGGTTTTGTCGTCATCATCATGATTATTTTGAGCACATAGTTATGAAACATTACTGCATTTGATAAGTTAGTAAAGTGTTAACTTACTGAAATCAATTCAAACCTGAAATCTACCAGCCTGCTCCTTTGATTTTGGTAATTACCTGAAATAACAGCAAATTTTTACAACACATTTCCCCTCCTCCATGCTATAGGCTACACTGTGTAATGGGAAGTCATTAGCTTTTGGTCTGATGCTGTTTGTTCTCAGTCCCTTGCTGCTACATTTATATTTCATATCTTATGTTTCACACTGTATTAACAGCTGTGGCTTGTTTTTGCCATCTGCAGACAATTACTTTAGTTTACTTGGCTTTGTAATAATACCATGTTTTCTTCTTGCAACTCTCTCAATAGACAACATACTGCAAATTCTTGACAGGTGCCGAGGCATTTGCTCAGGAGACATAGTGAGGAGGATTATTACTGCATTATTTAGTTCTCCTGAAGTAAACAAACACATTCCCTTCCTGGTATCATGTGGAAGTCAGCAGTGTGTTTTGCATCGCTCCAGCTTGGAACGGCCAATTATGATTTACGTCGACTCCCAAGAACCTCAGTGCCCCTTTTCACCTCCAACAAGACCCACTTAGTGTTGAATATTTTCCCTTCCATACCCTCTCATTTGCTCAGTATCTCCTCCTTTTATGACCTTTTTACATTCACCTTGCCTTGTTTCACCTACTTGCTGTTACCACAGTGGCTCAGGTTCCGTTCCACAGTCTAGTTTCAGTATAATAACTTGACACTTCACATTGCATTAGTCTTAGTCCCAACAACAAGGTTATGTGACCTATAGTGTCAGAGAGCATACACCATACTTGCCTGGAGTAGCTATTTATCTAGACAGCTTTGGGCCACCTATGATTCAGAGCAGAACAAATACAGATGCGAGGCAGTTACACTGAGGACATATTTGTCCAGCAACCAGAGCTTTAGACAGCAAACACCATCACACAGTTTTCTCTCACAGGCACTTGAATCAGACTTTTAATCCTGTACAAGTCACCAGGAGGCGTCACAGGATGTCATTGCATAGTAACACAATAAAAAGTATAGAATTCAATTGGATTTTTACATTAAAATTAACTTAATATGGTGTAATATCTTTGCACTAAAAATATTAAAATGTCACATTCTGCATCTTTAACCAAATATTAAGAAGAATAAGAGGCTGCTGTTAGTGTTAAGGTTTGTGTACTGGGAGGACAGGAAGAACCTATGGGCCGTAGAGAATGATGTTGTTTAGCAAACAAAATCAACACTTTTTTCTTTAAAGTCACCTTTTGCCCATGCCTTCAGTTAAAAAAAAAAAAAAGCCTTCTTTAACTTTGTCCATTATTTGTTTGCTGCATATCATCCACTGCGGTCACAGGTGGTAATTACAGGATCAAGATAGGCTGCATTTCTCTACATTTGTCAAGATTCGTCGGAATGTGTTGCTTTACAACTGTGTGTCTCTTTCTTAATATATTCATTTTAGGATCTTGATGTAGGTGTGGCAGACAGGTTTTTAAGGAGCCTGGAAGCTTTACAGAAAACTGTATACTGTAGACCCAGTAAAGGGGGATGCCCCATTTTTGCCATGCAAAATACCAAACTCACACTGTGAAAATTGAGGTTTCAGTTTTTTAATGTGGGTCTGGAAGCATAAAGGTCCCTGTGTCCCTGTGTATTGGTTCTCATAATACAGCATCAGACAAGGGTCATTAAGCAAGCTTAGATTAAACTTCATTTATAGCCACAGACAACAACTGTATGCCGTGAACAGCAGCACATAGAACTAAAGCAGCCTTTACCCAAGTGACATTGTATTATCATGATTAAATCATCGAGGAAAGAACTGTAAGTTTGTTGGTAAACCTAGCAACAGCATTCAAACAACACTGCACATTTGTGTTGCACCCAGTGACTGTTCACATTTCTCTACATTAAGCTTCACTGTGCTCTGAGAATCACACCAGAAGGCAGTGTAACCGGTGCTGGCTACTATGTGTGATCTGTGCTACAATCTGCACCACTGTGCTGCATAATTTATTTTATTGCACAAGAAGTAAACCGCTATCACTCTTCCACACAATTGCAGCCTTAGTAAATGTGTTTATCTTGTTTATTTCTCTTTTTCTCCCTCCCTCCCTCCCTCCCTCTCTCTCTCTCTCTGGGTCCCTGGGGTCCCAGCGGCCCCTGTCTGTTTCCTGGTGGTGTCTGGGAGCCCAGGTCTATAAGGCACCAGGATCATTTTCCCTTTGTTGCTGTTGTCACTAGCATGGAGCCAGCTAATTCATCTTGCTAATGGCAGGTGGGTCAGATGAGCGCTATAATTGTGATTTCCCTTTTTTCCCCTCCCCTTTCTTTTTTTGTGGCTGTAGTTCCTTGGTCTAGTAAAAATAGCAGAACCAACTTTAAACAAAGACAGCTTTACATGGCATCAACATGTTCACTCTTGGTTCATCTTATCATTAGTAAGATATACAAATTTAATTGTGCTGTCACTTAAAAGAACCAAATGCTGAAGAGGAGATAAGTAAGAATAGATATTACCAATTCTACGCTTTTTAAAGAGCTAACAGATTTTTTTTTTGAGTAACCAGAATGAAGTCAGCAGTCAGGTGGAGTCACTGGGGCATGAATCTCCAGAGAGCAGTGGACATGGAATGAGCTCAGGCTGATTTGAGTCAGGAGGAAGGTCGTCACCACACAAATGAAAAACATGAGAAGTGGTTCAAGGTCTAATCAAGTCCTCAGACTGCACTCACTGGGAGCAATTAAGTTTCTCCCTCTCCCTCAACATAGGTAACCAGATCCTCCTATTGACATTCTCAATAAAAGGTCATTTACTGTATGGATAAAATGATCAGTCCCACTGCCCTTATAGCATAAAATGAACTTGAAAATTGTGGTCAGCGCTTTGACCAGTGATTTGGCATTATTTACAAAATTGGCATGGACATAAAATCAAAGAAATTCTTCACATAAACAAAGAAAAGGAATACATTTAAGAAGTGGTTCCACAATAAACAATTGCACATTGTTTTTTAAATGTACATGCAGGACCCTCACACCATGAATCTCAAGACCTTGGCACAGAGTCCAACCTAACCACAGGAACTCATCCCCATCATTGCTAGTCTGACACAAATTAAGTCCTGGTTCTTCCTGTCCTGCCTCTCAGACCACAATACTCGATCATAAGTCATCCTTAATTTGTATGGTTGTCGCAGACGCTTGTTGTCAAGCCGGTTGGCTTGCAGCTCTCTTTGTCAAAGCCCATCGGGACCGCACAGACTGGTAGGGAGAGAGCGACGTGATTTTCACACTCTGATCCCACCTAGAATGCCTGCAAAACACTTGTTTGCCTCTGAGCCAAACTGTAAAATATAGTCCTTGCAAGTGCTTGCATACATTTTTCACAAAGCATGCCATCACAGGGGAAAGATTATACATGATACCACTGTAACAGCACACAGTCCGGGCTGTAACATGATGCCATTTTGGGTTAGAATCTTATTTCAGAACAGCATTTCACTGATGCTGAGAACATGTTTCCCTTTTCTATCTTTCACCTCTGAGGAGGAATCAACTTATCATTGTTTCTTCTCCTAGTATCTCGCTTTAACAGCATCCTCCTGATCAAATTAAATGCAACATTGATGCTCACCACGCACAGCTAATAAATGGTGGGTGACAATACTAAACAGTACTATAATGGTTTAGACTAGAAAAGGTTTTAGCCATAGAAAATAGACTAACTTTTTTCAGCACGATGAGTAGATATAAATTCTCATATTCATGTAAGCATGTTTAGATCGTCTTAAGCTCTTGCACTGTGTCACACATACAGTATTCTGGCCTTTCTTGTGGGTAGCTCTTTAGGGTTAACAGCCTTATGTTCCAAGTCAAGCATAGAAAATGAAAATGGGATGAGAGAGATGGGAAATCAACCCCCTCTACATCCTGACCAAATAACTGACACAATCCACACTAAATATATGAGAATATTAAGTGTAGAGTCCTATGGAAACTAAAAAATAGTCTCACATCATACAGTAGGTAAAAAAAAAAAAAACATTAAATGAAAAGAAATCAGCAGCAGAGAAGAAAAACTGAAATGTCTAATAGTGGGGAGTCAGCCGTCATTTCACTTGAAATTCTTTTGCTGCCACCCCTACATCTCTGTTAATTACTTCCTCAGCAATATACAAATTCCCCTGGGCTCTTTACCAAAAAGAAATAAACACTGTGTCACACTGACTCACCAATTGGCAAACTACTGCAAAAGAAACAAGAATAAAAGTAATCTATTAAACGGAAAACCCATTTGCCCTGATTGGTAACACTAACTTTTTTTGACTGAATTTGTAAATGGTCTACACTCCTTCATTTTCATCTTGCAAAAATAGCACATACTGTACTTGGGAGTGCCCTACCAGCTGAATGATTACAGTGCATGGAACATAAATGGGATGTTTTTGGCTTGGTTCTTGCTGGGGACCCTTATTCCATGTCATGATCCCTCTCCCAACTTTACAGTATGTTTTCTGTGTACAATCTACTGTCAGATAGAGACAACCTTCTTCATAATGTGCACAACATGTAGTTTTAATTTATAAGTGTAACTTTCAGATACAGGAGAATCCACCTTTAAAATGACAACTGCATTTTACCCTAAGCTACTGTAAGTAAAAGACTTTCTTCCCTTGAAATGAGTGTGTTCTATTTCAGCAGCATATACTATTCTGAAGCTTGTTACTAACTTGTTAGGCCCGTAGCTAAATCTAAATTCTGAAGTGTTAGTATTTATCATCATGTTATTATCATGTTTTCTGTAAAGACTTTCCTCAACCTCTAGTTTTCAGTACAAAAGCAATAGAGAAAACACGAGATTAGCTTTTTACAGGGCACTGCACATTTTGCCTCTCTTACTCTTGTGCAATGTGCAGAATCTCACAAAGCATTTATTACATTAGGGAAAATGGGTTCTGGAGCAATAAAACAAATTCAATGTTGCATGTACTATCTGTCTTCAATTGTTGAATTAATGTTTCATATGGTTTGAAAATAGTTCATCATTTGCTAATTTTTTACAACAAGTTCACCTACAGTACATGCACGCTTTATTTTACCGATTAGATCAAGAAGAAAAGCAGTAAAGCAAGATGAATGTACATAGATCTGGAATGCAGCAGCAAGTAAATGGCAGACCTTTCTTGTTGTTTTCTATCATTTCAAAACACAACTAGCAGTCCAGCAGCCACTACTGGGACTAGTGCAGACAGTACTGTGCACTTTTCATCTTTAAGTGAATTTGGACAAGCAACATGCAGTGATCTGCCTAGGCTTTCTGTGGTAATATTGTAGCAGAAAAGTAAATGCCAGGTTTCCCAGTTAGCGCTCTGGTTTCATGTTTTCAGTCATTCAAGTTGGCTACAGATTGACAGAGGTACAGCCACAAGTTGGACAACTCCAGCCTTTCATATCATCAAAATATGAAAAGACCACTTGGATGACGACGTTTTTTAGTATAAGTAGTCCAAATAAATTTAATTGAATTTAAATTGTAATTATAGTTTCTCTTACCATTAGTTGCCTCCCATTTGAAATTTTCTTGACATTTTACTTCTATGTGTTCAGTTGGTATTTTAAAAATACCAGCAATCTTTTTGACTGAATTAAAATTTACCAGGAGGTCTAAATCAGGCCCTGTGAGTTTTCCGGCCAATCCTTGACGGTTATCAACCCTACAAGTCAATCTGCCAACCAGCACCTAAATCTCACTAATTAAAATGGTACAGTTTATCTTGTGGATTTTACCTCTATGACAGTGCAAAAGTGCATATCAACAAGTTGTGATTTTAGAAAAATAATAGTACAGACACATTTTTTTCTTACATATAGTTTCCCCTTGTTTTCAGTCTCTAAGCTAGACAAAGACAACCAGCTGCTGGTTAGCTTTATAAGCCATCATGCAGACATGCAGAAGTGTTACCAGAAATCTTCTTATGTATGCCTTTCAGTCATTTTTACTAAGCTGCAACTTCATTTAACAACCATCCATCCATTATTGATGTCAGTTATCCCGTAGAGACTCACAATGCTTGCGCAAAAGGTGCAGTACACCTTGAACAGGTCACCAGTCTATCACAGGGCTGACACATAGAGACAAACAACCACTTACACTCACTCCATATCTGCATGTCTTTGGACTGATTAGGACCCACACAGGCACAGGGAGAACATGCAAACTCCACACAGAGAGGTCCCGGTCAGCCATAAGGTTCAAACATGGAACCTTCTGGCTGTGAGGCGACAGCACAAACCAGTTCATTTAATATGCTTTTTACACATCAGTATTATCTCAGTGCAAAGGAAACAGTGCAGCTCAGTCTTTTGAATAAGTACAGACACACTAGCATGTTCATGGTGGCACTATCGGCAATGGATCATGGATGTGGTGAAGGGCTGTACTTATTTGGGAACAGGATAGGGACCAAAGAGGGTTATCAACAATTTCAGACATTCCCTTCGAAGTGAGATGCGCCAAAAACATAAGAGCAGGAACAACAACAAGCAAGAACTCCTGGCAAAATCATCATCCAGTAATTACTCATGGAGTAGAGCATTTAAAGTAATTACTGAGGTGTTCCCACAAAGCGTGTCCATTTGTGAGGTTTTTCTTATTTTTATTTTGTCCACGTCAACTGGTTTGTTCTGGATGGAGTCAGTGTAACAGCACATTTCAGCAAAAGGGGTCACAGCCATACATCATGTTGTGTTCATTGTGCTTACTTGCAAAGTGCCATTCTTATTCATGTCTGAGTGGGCATATGCCGCACAAAGGACACCTCACCCAGAAATGGTTTCACTGCAGGCATGCACAGTAAGTAGAAGTAAAGCGCTGTAGTTGTACTGACGCTTTTACGTGACATTGAAGCAAACCTCAACATCAACAAACAGTTGGCTATCTTTGGAAAGTGATGATGATCTTACCTGTGATTCTCATCAGCAGTGAGAAAGAGTGCAATGTACAGCTGTCTACGCGTTACATCCCATTTGACATGTTGATACAGTAGGTCCTTAAAAGTGCATGTGTCAGGAACTCGGAACTAATAGTGCAGTGTCTAACTTCAGAAGATTAGCCAAGCAATGACATAAGCTGTGGCTGCTCTGGTGTTTAGAAGTCGCATTTGAAAAATGTGTGTGGCACTCGTACGTGAGGGGAGAGAAATGAAGGCGAAGGGAATGGCTCTGCAAGAGTGGAAAATAAGTGAAATGTAAGTCACAGGTTGCAATATTTTGATA